CTAAGTCTGCAAGGTCTTCAGAATCAAACTGCTCAATTTTCACCAACATTCGCTTACGATACCGCTACTGTTTTGGTCTGGGCTGAGATGCCGGTGTCTTTCGCGACTCAGTCTCTTTTTTCTCCCTGGCATCGCAACGCGCCTTCAACGTCTTGATTTCGGGATATGAAACGTCGTTGGTGTATCGGTCTGTATTAGCCAGCTCTATGCAGTTAGTCGGTATTGGTTTTTCGTCGAAGTTGCCATGCCCATCGGGGTGGGCAAACACAGTAACGGACGCGGCAGCCGCGCACATCGCCACAACAATCAACAGAGTGCAAATAATCATCTTGGCATCTCCTTGGTAATAGACTCGATTGTCACCGAGGTGTCTAAATCGCCTTGTCTAAAACAAGGCGGCAATTTGTGCATGTGAAATCTCACACCGCTCATAATAAAATATTGGCTCACTTAGCTTGCGATCACATCACACGCTTCATTTCGGCGTAGTGACCACGCGCGCGTATAACTACCGTCACATCAGCATCCCCACGATTCCTCCAGAACCATCCATGGTTGCCGTCGAAAGCGGCTTCGAGAACACCTTCATCGTTGGCTACATTGCGTCTTTTTTCATAACTGGTGGATTGTCCACCGCCATCTCCATGCGTATCAAAGTTAACGGCACCTCCTTGCACCATCCAGCTGAATTCGGCCTTCTCTCCCTCTTTCATAGTCAGCTTCACCTCGGCTCCTTGCGCAGGCTTCAGAACAACCTGCATCTCATCTCGCCAGTTCGCTTCCGTGACTGGCGAAGCGGACACAGTTGGCTGAGCAGCAACTTGGACTTCTGTAGTTTCCGCGACCGTTTCTATAGCCGCCTCCTCAGCCAGCTGTGCCTTGATCTCGCCCATTTCCGTAAGGCCAAGCGCGCGGCCAATACCAGTTGGATCAATGGCGTATTCGGAAGGAAGAACAATCGTTATGAGAATCACGATGGCAGTGAGCAGAGCTATCAATGTCGAACGCCGTAGTTGCTTTGCCGTTGGAAGATCGGATTGCGACGGAATAGTGTTGTTGTACATAAGCGCTATCTCCTATTGAATTTCAAGTAACAAAGAAACCGGTGAGCTGGTAACCGATGAGCACAAAACCGGCAGACATCAAAGCGACGTTTGCCGAGTAAGCATGACGCCAAAAGCTTTGAGTTCGGCGCCAGTAACTTATTGCGATCAAAATGGCACCCAGCGCGAGCAACTGGCCGATTTCGACACCGACGTTGAAGGCAAGTAGATTCGGAATCAGGCCATCTGGCGAAATGTCATACTCGATAATTTTGGTGGATAGGCCAAAGCCGTGACAGAAGCCGAACAATAGCGTGGCAGCTTTGGTGTCGGGCTGGAACCCGAAGCATCGCTGGAATGCCCCCATGTTATCGAGGGCTTTGTAAACCACCGACAGCCCTATGATCGCGTCGATGATGTAGCTGTTGATGCCGATACTAAAATAGACACCGAGCAACATCGTGCTTGAGTGCCCGATGGCGAACAAGCTGACGTACAAAGCGATGTGTTTTATCTGGTACAGGAAGAAAATCACACCCAGAAGAAACAGGATATGGTCGTATCCAGTCACCATATGCTTGGCACCCAGGTACACAAAGGAGAGTAAGTGAACACCACTTATCTCCTGAATGTAGCCCTTGTCGCCTTCAGCAACGGCATGGGCGATCGCATCGTTTGTCCCGACGAGGATTAACGTCACCGCTAGAAAGACGAGCATCGTCCTGGGCCATTCCGGCGGACGACTAGCCGACACGTTGCGGGGTAGAAGTTCTAACGCCAGATCAGCTAGTATTTTTTTCAAGTCATCTACTCCTATGGTTGCAACGCAGCTTCGGTTTGCTCAACGACCTTCTTGTGCCCATGTACCAACCTGTACAGCGCAGGCACTACAAGAAGCGTCAATAGTGTTGATGAGATGATTCCGCCAATCACGACTGTTGCAAGCGGACGCTGCACCTCTGAGCCAATGCCCGTGTTCAATGCCATGGGTACAAAGCCAAGTGCCGCAACAAGTGCAGTCATCAACACCGGCCGAAGTCGGGTCAATGCCCCTTCCACGATGCTATCGTCAAGCGTTAGGCCTTGGGTCTGTAGATCGCGAATGAAGGAGACCATCACCAACCCATTCAATACAGCAATCCCCGAAAGCGCAATAAACCCTACCGCTGCAGAAATCGAAAACGGGATATCTCTAATCAACAAAGCGATGATCCCGCCGGTTAGCGCCAACGGCACACCGGAGAAAATGACGCCTGCGTCTCGGAATGAACCAAGTGCCATCACCAGTAAGCCGACGATCAGTAACAACGTCACAGGCACAACGATGCTCAGACGAGTCGCTGCTGACTGTAGATTTTGATAGGTGCCGCCATACTCAATCCAATAACCGACAGGGAGTTCAACCTGTTGCGCAACCGCTTGCTGAACCTCGGAAACAAAAGAGCCAAGATCACGACCGCGCACATTCGCAGTCACAACGATGCGGCGTTTGCCGTTTTCACGGGTCACCTGGTTGTAGCCATTCACCAGTTCCGTGTGCGCAAGTTCGCGGAGCGGGACGAAGTCCCCACCCCTCAATGGTACGGGAAGATCCAACAGGCCATCAGGGTTGGCACGCAATGCTTCTGGTAGCCGCACAACGATATCAACACGTTGATCACCTTCGTAGAGTTGTCCGGCAAGGCTTCCACCAAGCGCTGTACTCACCAACTCTTGCAAGTCTGCAATAGCGAGCCCGTAACGAGCGATTGCTTCGCGGTTCGGTACTATTGTTAGAACTGGTAAACCTGCAGTTTGTTCAACAGCAATATCGGCTGCCCCCGGGACACTATTAAGGCTAGTTTCGATTGCATCACCAAGCGCAATCAACGTCTCAAAATCATCGCCAAACACTTTGATCGCTAGCTCAGCGCGGACGCCCGCGATGAGTTCGTTGAAACGCATTTGAATGGGCTGCAAAAATTCATAGCGATTGCCGGGGATGGGTGTGACCTGTTGCTCTAGTTCCCTAACAAACTGCATTCTGGGCTTGTTTGGATCAGGCCACTGATCTCGCGGTTTCAGGATAATAAAATTATCCGCCACGCTCGGAGGAACAGCATCAGTTGCAACTTCCGCAGTACCGATTTTGGCGAACACGCGCTCCACCTCCGGAAGCTTCTTGATCTCGGTTTCCAACTCTTCCTGCATTCGCACAGCTTGTGCCAACGACGTGCCTGGAATACGCAAGGCATGCATGGCAATGTCGCCCTCATCCAGATTCGGCACAAATTCAGTGCCCAGCTGGGTGGTTAGCCACCCACACACAACCACAAACACTGCCGCCGTACTCACGACAAACCAGCGAAATCGGAGTGCCGCTGTTAGGGCTGGTCGGTAAAGGGATCGTGCACCGCGAACGATGGCATTTTCTTTCTCCGGGATCGGTTTTCTAAACAGTAACGCCACACCCGCAGGTACAAATGTGATCGATAAAATCATTGCGCTGACAAGCGCAATTACCACCGTGATGGCCATGGGATGGAACATCTTGCCTTCAATACCGGTGAGCGCAAAGATCGGGATATAGACCGCTGTTATGATGAAAACACCGAACATAGCGGGTCGAATCACTTCACGCGTCGCATCGAAGACTACGGCAAGCCGTTCAGAAAGCGTTAGGGTTGCTTTGCCCGCCTGGCTAAGCCGCCGCATACAATTCTCAACAATGATCACCGCCCCATCAACAATCAATCCAAAATCGAGCGCACCTAAGCTCATGAGATTGGCACTGACCTTTGTCTGCACCATCCCCGTAATGGTCATCAGCATGGCGATAGGAATCACGGCGGCGGTAAGTAGTGCCGCGCGAATGTTTCCGAGAAACACAAATAAGACGATGATCACTAGCAAAGCGCCTTCGACGAGATTGGTTCTCACCGTATCCAGCGTTTTATCGACCAAGCCGGTGCGGTCGTAAACTGCTGTAACTCTGATGCCTGGCGGCAGGCTCATTTGAACATCGACCAGCTTTTCGGCCACGGCATTGGCGACTGCACGGCTGTTCTCCCCGATCAGCATGAACACTGTGCTCATGACCACTTCGTGGCCATCCTGCGTAGCTGCGCCAGAGCGCAACTCCTTACCTAGACCCACACTTGCTACGTCACGCACACGAATGGGTATACCATTTGTTTCATCAACAACAATCGCTCCCAGTTCTTGAATTTCGGTGGCTTGTCCTGGCATCCGCATGAGCCACTGCGCACCGTTGTGCTCAATGAAGCCTGCGCCTTGGTTCGCATTGTTGCGTTCTAACGCCGTCGCGATGTTTGCGAAGGTCAGACCATAGGCCAACATTTTTGCAGGGTCGGGGGCGATCAGGATTTGTTTCTTAAAGCCGCCAATAGGATTGATTTCAACCACGCCTGGTACGCGCAGGAGCTGTGGTCGAATTATCCAATCATGCACCGAACGCAAGTCGGTTGGCGTGACCTTTGTGCCGTCTTCGTTCAGTGCGCCCGGCTCGGCATCGACAGTGAACATGAAGATTTCACCCAGACCGGTAGCGATCGGCCCCATGGCGGGTTCAAGTGAGCCTGGCAGTTCGGCCTTCGCCGCATTCAGTCGCTCTGCCACCTGCTGGCGAGCGAAGTAGATATCAGTACCTTCTTCAAAAACCACCGTGATTTGCGACAGGCTGTAACGAGAGATCGAGCGCGTGTAATCAAGCTGCGGAATACCCGCCATCGCGTTTTCCAGCGGAAATGTGACCCGCTGTTCCACTTCAAGCGGTGTGTAACCCGGTGCTTCGGTGTTCACCACAACTTGTACGTTGGTGATGTCAGGTACCGCATCAATGGGCAGGCGTGTGAAATTCCAAAAGCCCAGACCACTCAGAAGCAGGACTGCAAAAAGAACAAGTCCCCGTCGCGATATCGACAGTCTAATAATGTGTTCTAGCATGATTCTGCTTCCTCAGTGATCGTGCGATGCGCCGGACTTTTCAATGTCGGCTTTAATGAGGTAGCTGTTCGTGGTGACGTAGCGTGTGCCAGGTTCCAGGCCGCCGAGCACTTCAATCCACTCACCATCCTGTCGGCCGAGATCGAGCATACGCACTTCGTACTCATCACCTATTTGGGCATAAACCACAGTAAAGTCTCGGAATGCCTGCAAACCCGTACGTTTCACCGCAAGCGGCACTGGATGTTCAGCGACCTGAATCTCGCCGGTCAAATACATACCGGGTACCAATGCACCGTCCGAATTATCCAACACGACGCGTGCAAGAACAGATTGGTTTGCCTCGGCAACAGGATTGAGCTGGCTTATGACACCTGAGCGCTCAAGGCCGCCGTCCGCTGCATTGATGGTCACGGGGGTTCCTGTAGAGACTCGAGGACGATCCGATGGGAACACAGATAACTCAGCCCAGACGGTTGAGATATCCACAATCTTGAATAGCTGCCGCGCCGCCGTTTGCTCGCCTGGATTCGCGTTACGCTCAGTCACGATTCCGGCAATCGGTGCGCTAATCCCGTAGGGCTTGAGGCTTTCATTGCTTTCGATCGTAGCCAGCTTTTGTCCGCGCTGTACCGTGTCACCAATGGACACGTCAACAGACCGAACAACACCATCGAAACGGGCGGTTATAGAGCTCACTTTTTCAGTATTCGGTACGACGCGCCCGTATACCGCAATGGTCTCGTGAATCGTCGCTGACCCTGCCAGATCGGTTTGCAACCCGAACGCCTCGGCAACGTCAGCACCTATCCGGGTTCGCCCTTCAAAATTGGCGTATCGCCAGCGATGGGTCGCGCCGCGATGCTTGGCTTCAATCGACACAACAAACGAATGGGGTTCATAAATGACGGTATCGCCGCGCAGAAAATCATCCTGTACATCAAAGCTGATTTCATCTTTGACATCCCCCAAGCGAGTGAGCGTCGCGTGCACACTGACATCTTCGGGCGCAACCGCTGCGCCTGCGTTGGTTACCCAAACACGAAATTCTGGCGGTACACCCGTTTCGAATATGGCGAGTTCGAGAACAAAGTCACCGCCGATCAACAATCGTCCCCTGTTGGGGCCTTTGACTGGTTCGATCTCAGCGACCTCACCGTGGCCATTCTTCGCGGAGTCGTCGTTTTCGGAGCTTGCGCCGCTGCAACCCATGATTCCTGTCATCAGGGTCACGAGCCAAAATGTGTAATGTATTCGTTTCATTGTTATTCTCTGCGTAATCCTCATGGCTGAACGACCGAAGACGACAATGTTGTCCCGGTTAAGCGTTCGACTTCTATTTGATGTTTATGCGCATTGATACTTGTTTCGACCAACGCCATGCGTGCGCTCAATACTTCGGCCTGGACGAGTTGGAGCTCTAAGTAGCTATATCGGCCTGAGGCATAAGCGCTCTGGGTATCAGCTAAGGCTTGCTCCACACGCGGTAAGACTTCGTCGCGCAGAGTCTTCGTTTGATGCAGGCTGTGTTGTAGCTCTTGATAACGTGCGAACAAATGAGTTTCGATTTGTAGTTGTGTCGCTATGCGATCAGCATCGACGCCTTGAAGCTTTGCGCGCGCCTCTGCAATTCCACCTTGGTTGCGATTGCGCATCGCCAGAGGGATCGTGATACCAGCAACAAACGCCTGCTCATCTATCCCTTCTATCCGACGGATTCCTGCGTTGACACGCCAGTTAGGTTTGGCGTCAGCTTGAGCCAAACGCAACTCCGCTTCCCGTAGTCGTTGTTGACTTAGGTAACGAAAAACATTCGGGCTCTGATCAACGCGCGCGAGTAGGTGCTCGAATTCCTCTGGTTTTGGAAGCAACTCGATGTTGCCTGTAACCTGAATAAAGTCAGGCTGTCTCTCACCCCACTGCGCTGCGAGCCGATAATTTGATGTCAGTAGCTCGTGTTCTACATCCTCTAAATCAAGGCGAACATATGCAAGAGACGCCTCCGCCCGCGCCAAGTCAGCATCAGGTGTTCGTCCTGCCTGCACGCGCTCTTTAACAGCGGTTACCGTTTGCTCAGAAAGAGTGACAGCCTCTTGAAGGCGCTTTAAGCGTTCTTGATTTGCAAGACTGTCGAGGTACAGCCTTGCCGTTTCAGCTGCCACATCAAGACGCGTAACTTCTGCCTCTGACTCGAGCAATGACACACCAGCATTCGCCGCTGCCACGCGCCTTTCGCGTTTGCCGCGCTCCAACACCCAACTTAGACTGAGCGTAGTTTCAGCGCGATCGATGCCCTCGAACTCACCGGAACCAAGGGCGTTCTCGATCGTCACCCCCAGCTCCGGATTTGGGCGAAGCCGAGATTGCGTCACTCGCCCTTGTTGTGCCTCGATCTGATAACCAAATGCCACCAGCGTCGGGTTGCGTTCTAGCGTTCTGGTGATGGCGTCTTCTAACTTAACTATGGCGCTTTCACTGGCTGACACTTCTTGAGTCAACGCAGCGATGCTGGCCGATGCCAGCAAGCAGCATGCGCCAACTCGACGCGTGAGTGATACCCACATAAATCTATCTCCTAGTGCGTTCGTTAAAACGCAGGTTTAAACAAGCAGGACTAAGACCGGCAAAGAGCCGCTCATAGAAGCTTTAGAGAATGACTATGTAGAGATAGGAGGGGCGCGAAGCGGCGGTCGCCAGCGATGCCTGTGTCGGACATTGCTAGTTTGTTTAAGTGGAAATCTAAGCCTGAGCTGAATCGATCCAATCAACGCGAGAACGATAACACAAGCGAGGATCATCGGAACAAAATCCGACCAGCTGAAACCCATCTGTTCGAGCAAAGACACATCTGTCTCAGCACCGTGACTGTGGTCGTGGTCACTTGGAGCGGGTTGATGCAAGTGAGTTCCGTGTATTCCTGCATTATGACCATCGGCATCAACATGCAAATGCAACCCACCCATTTGCATCGCGAGCAAACAAATGCAGGCAGTTATGGTCATCAGTTTTAGAACTCTACTCATTCGCGCACTATACAGAATTTCTAAATTCTGGGTAAACGAGATAATAGGAGATCTGGAGACCCTATTGTGCGATGCAAAAACACGAATGGCCAAAATAGCAACCAAGTTTGCCAGCAATTCGACAGATGCAAGAATGACCGCATGGGGCACAAAACAGAAGTAGTTACTCCCGCCCTTAATAACGGCTTTCTCAATGGCAGACACTCAGCGTCTCGGTTGTTACTTCTGATTTCGGCCAGGAGCAGTCATTCCTACGCATAGGCGCTCATCACCGCTGCACTACGTAGAAGAGATAAGCGACGTATAGGCCAATGAACAGAATGCCATGCGACCTCAGCACGACATATCGACGGCTGGATACCATAGCCAGAATGATCAAAGCACTGGACACTATCACCATGACAAGGTCGGTATTAGTGATAACCTCAAACGGCAGTTCGACGATACTCGACGTTAATCCCAATACCCAAAGCAAGTTGAATATGTTCGAGCCGACAACGTTGCCGACGGCAATATCAGTTTCATTGCGGTACGCCGCCACAGCAGAAGCCACAAGCTCTGGAGCCGATGTGCCTATCGCAATGATGGTAAGCCCAATAAGGGCATCGTCAACTCCCCACGTCTGCGCAAAGCCTACCGCACCGCTGACCACCCACTGACCGCCAAAATATAAGCCAACAACGCCCAGCGCTATTTGAAATACTGCACGGCCTAAATGCCCGCTGGTAAAAACTTGCGGTGCCGTGCTCTCGTCTTCGCGGGATGATTTGAAAATGTAAAGCATGAACAAAAAGAAGAAAAACAGAAGAATCCCGCCATCCAGCTGACTAATGCTCAATTCGTGATGATCGGAGAACAACGCTGCATTTGCGAGAAACCCGACGAGCAACGCTGCAGTAAGCGAAAACGGAATCTCCGATACAATGGTTGAATTGCGTACCGGCAGCGGGCGAATGATCGCAGCGACCCCGAGTATGAGCAGCACATTCGCGATGGGGTTTTACCCTGATTTCACAGACA